CGATAATCCTTTTCTGTTTTTCTATTAATTAATGATAACATAATCAAGCATACATGATTTTATTTACTTTTATGGTTACTAATATCTCACTGCCTGTGTGCTTTGGTGAATTCTCCTCAATCAATTTACATGAGTTTACACGACATCTAATTTTTGTTGGGTCTTGTCGTGCTAAACCATCACAATATTAAGTTTGACATGGGCTCAAGTCAAAACTCGACAGTTTTTGTTTTCCTTTTTAATTTCATATTCAATTGAAATAAAAAATTTGTGCACGGAGCAATTATTCTGAAGGAAATTAGGCTCACTATTTTAAAAAAGGAAAAAAATAGAATAACACACTTAATTAATTATGTCTTTAATAACCATATTAATTATGCCCAAATTCATCCCAAACTCGGGCGGACAACCCCTTCTTCCCAATCTGATTTTTTTTCACTTCTTAAACTTTTTATTATTAAAAAGTTTCCATTTGATGCTTTATTTTACAATACAATAATTCGTTCAGAGTGATTCAAAATATGTTAGAAAGCTTGTAACGTGACCATAATGAATAGGGTACTTACTCCACTACATTGTAATCACGCCATAATCACGCCACAATTAAAGTAATTTTTTAATAAATACACCACTACAATTTATATTTATAATCTTAATTCAATAAAATAAATGCATTGTGGTGTACTCATCTTCTTCTTAGAGACAATTTCTTGCTGGATTGTTGAAAACAATGGTCTAATGATAAATTTGGTGCAGTGAATTGGGACTCCAAGGAACATCACCCATCATTTTTGTTTCCAATTCTTTTCAGTCTATTGAACCAGAACTTCAATTGGATCTTAACAACCATAATCTAGTTAATGCTATATATTTCACTCTAAATAATTAAGGAAATTTTTTTGGGAGTAAACGTCGGACGATCAAAAATAAAAGAAAATTAAGGCCCGGATTTTTTTGGCTCTGCCCGTCGAAGATATTCTGCACTTCATTTCGTGGGTAACGTGGGGCCGCCTTCTTTGCTTTTGGATGTTCTACGTTAATTCGGGGGGTTGACAGTGATCGACTCGACAGCGGCCTAGCGAAGGAGCTCGAACGCCATGGTGCCAAGTGCCAACCTATCTGGATTCACTGTTCTAATATCTTCATTTTGGGAGGTGATTCATGGATAAAAGATGAAGATTGCAGTGTCTTCCTAAAATTAAAAGTTTTTGCTTATGGCCCAACTATTTCCACTGTCTAAAATTTGATTGTATTTCTTTGTAGAGATTTAGATGATTGAATTACTCGTGGACAGGGCAACCACCCTACTACAAGATTGAAAATTGATCGATAAGGTTTGAGGTTTTGGGGAAATGGCCAATAGGGATTAATGCTTAGTTCGAAGTGAATAATGCACAGACAAAATTGCTTTTAATATACAAGGCATGTGAAAGGTACCAGCATTTTTTATGGTGAAATTGTACTACANAGCATTTTTTATGGCGAAATTGTACTACAAGTGATGGAGAGGATAAGTATCATGATTAAAAACGGTAGTCTTGAGTTCACATATTTTAAATACATTGGAACCATTTCTGCAATTAGTGCAAATTTGTCTAGGAAATATCTAATCCAAAAGCATTTATGGTACCTCATTCGCTAATCGTTAATATGATAATTTTGGTTCACTCGTCGTTGTTGTGTTTAGATTTGCATCGAAGACTAAGTCTATGAGATTTCAAATCTAATTTCAATAACGTGTGATACTCATTGATATAAAAATGTGGTTGGAAAAAATTTACATTTAGGCTTATCGTTAAAGATGAAGGACCACGAAAGTGAAGCTTAACTTATTAAAATATTGATTTCCTCGTGATCGTCGTATTTAGATTTGGACAAAGTCATTTTTTTTTTCAACAGTCTACCTAAAAATTATCTGCCCAACTAATCCAACACAAGGAAAAAATAAAAAATAATAATAATCGATACTTACATTAAAGTTAATTTCCTTATTTGTCTTAGGTTCAAAACTGTACAAAATCACCTATACTTAAATTAAAATTTTAATATTCATATTTTATTTTGGAGGTTAAGATGGTAATATATCTTTGAACCATGTTCAATTTAGAACAAACATTTTTCGAAAAAAACATATATATAATTTTTTGTATTTACTTTTCTTTTTTTGTATTATATTTTTTTTACAAACATTAATTGATCCAGACCAATTCTTTTAAAACAATTTTGTTTATGGGTACATGGGACACCAAATGATTTCAAAAGAGGTTTTGATACAATTCTCTTGTTTAAGAGTTTTTATAACAGCCCAGCTTACTCCAATGTTTAAATTTTCCCTCGTTTTGATGATTAAAAATTGATCCATAAGGTTTTGGGGGGAATTGGCCAATTGGGAATAGTGTTTTGAGAAGTGCTCTTGAGAATATAGATAGAGGTAATACGGCAAGAGAGGATAGTTCGAGTGAGAGAGGAGGTTCTAATTCTGCATTTCGTTTGCAATGGTTTTAAAGAAATAAAGATTAAACAATATTGTAAGCGAACAACTTGTTGCATGTATAATTGTTTTTAAAAAATTAAAATAGTATTATAAAATAACAACATTTATTAATACAATTTAATTAAATATCACTAACGTGACGACACGCTATTTCGACATACTCGTCTTACAGTCGAAAATGAACGTCTTACGGATCCTTCATGTACATTAATGCTTCTAAAAAATCTTCTTTCTATCGGCTCTCATCCTAGGACAAAACCCTCTCACTTGCACTAAAAGCAGACTTTAAAGTTATAATGCTAACCGAAAGTGTTAATAGGTCTTTTACAATCGTCGATACCACTATCCATCATCATTTGTACTATTGCCAGAAGTCAATTACTTCTTCGAACTTTTTTCTAATTGATGACTAGGCACATGATGATTAAAGTAATCAAGTAATTCAGCACGCAATGGGTTTGGAATTGCATTTGACATCTAATTACGTGTGATA